GAGAGAGAGAGAGAGAGAGAGAGAGAGAGAGAGAGAGAGAGAGAGATCAGTCTCTGAGGAGGCGGCTGGCTTTTTTGTTGGAGTATTTTCTGAAGTACATTCCTAGCGAAAAGATTTTTTGGCCAAGAGTTAATCTTATAGAGCTATATAAGGAATGGCACAAATACCAGATAGCAATCCTACAAATGTTACCAGAGTGCCAAAAATGTCAAGGGGAGCCAAGCCGGCTGTGCCATCTTGTCAGCAGTGCAACCATCTTGCCAGTCAGGGATATGATTAAATCAAACAGATAATCCTAGCATCCTTAAATGTTTTCACTGTCGGCATGTATGAACTGATTTTAGCCTTCCTAAACCAAGGAAGAACTTTGTAGCTAGCATGTCCAAGAGGGACCCAGTAGAAAAATAAGATTGGTGTTTTAGGCCTAAGTTCTCACAGACTTCTCTGAGTGGAATTAGATGTCCTTGCCCCTACCAAGTGACTTTTTTCTTTCCTACAATCTTCACCCTCTACAGCAGGAGTCATGAGAATGACCCAAAAAGGTACAGGACACACAGGAGGGATTGGTATGATTTTCCCCCTTACTTTACTTGCTCCTCTGGCAACAGGTCCCAAGACTGGACATCCTGCTTTTCCAGTTTCTGCCAAGAGTGTGTGGACACAGGGTTGGACCTCTTCTGATATTAGGAACCTATTGCCTTCACTTCTTTGGAGAAGAGAAAGTCATTGATGCTTCACAAGGGACTACAGGTAGTCCTAGACTTACAACTGGTAGCTTAGTGACCAAAGTTATGATGGACCTCCCCATGGCTACTTGCAATCCAGATTTGAAGTTCCTATAGCCGCCACACTCCCTGAGGTCATGTGATCGCCTTTTGCGCAACTAGTCCTCATTACAGGAAAACCTGGTCACATTTTTTCCAGCATTTACTTCTTTTTTTGGCAAAAAAAGTCCGTGCAGACAATGGATTCACTTAACAACCACTTAACCATTTAATAACCATAGTGGTTCATTTAATGCCTGCTGCAAAGAAGATAGAAAATTGGTCATCGTGGTACACACAATGCCTTACTTAACAACTGGCATGACTTGAGTCCATAATTCTGGGCCCAATTATGGTAATAAGCCAAAGATTAATTGCATTGCCAGTTTGATGACAAAGATCCAGGAGGTGGTGGTGAAAAACTGGTGCCTTTGGTTTTCATTTCCTCTGGTTGCCCAAGCCATAAAACATTCCAGTACTGATAAGAGGCACATGGTTTTTTATTTATTTGACTTAAATGGTTGCTGAATCAGAAAGAGTCAAAGTAATCTGCAATGTTTAACTTGGGAGTTTTGGTTTGATTGCATTGTTCTGAAGGAATAAGAAGAGGGAGATAAGGGAATATGATGCTGTAAAACTTTAAGGAATTCCTGGACAGTGTATTTCTGCCTTTACTTTGTTAGTCATTGACCTGAGGTTACTCTATAGGATGCCCAGAATACAGCAAATGGAAAAAGCAAACAAGCAAAATGTGTAATGAAGGTATATGTGTAGTGAACTTTCCAGGTGGAGGTTCGGCAGAGTTCACAATGTGTCTAATCGCCACAAAAAAGGAAGTGTTGGAATTAGAGAACATAGACATCTCCTGCTACAGGAAAGAAACTTTTCTAACCCTGCCCCTAGAGTGAATGGGATGGAACTTCCATTTTAAAATGCCCCATTATAGGAAAAAAAAACAGTAATAAAATAGTATTACATTTTTAGATTACAAGGAAAGACAATCATGGCAATGTATACTTAAACTTACCCCGTTGAAATTGCTCTAGCACCATCTGCAGGTTTGTGAGGGATATGGCATACTGTTTAACTTGGTCTTGGGAAAGTGTTAGCTGAAGCATAGTCTCATCTCTTTGTGCGGTAGCAAGGTTCAATTGTTCTTGCAGAGATTCCACCTGCATGCTTGCCTGATGGCTTCAAATAAAACATAAATAGTATTAGAAATACTATTGTTTTATTTCCAATTTGTATTATCTTTTATTACACGCATGCCTAGTTAAAATGTTTGGGGAGGAGCCTTTATTATACTCTGCCCAGAGTCCATNAATAATCTTGTTACCTTGTCTTTTAAATTCTTCAATTTGTTCTTCTTTCAGATCTAGTTGCTCTGTTAATCTTGATGCAGAACCTAGAGCTTCATTTGCTTCATCCAACCTTTCCTGTATGATGAGATGGATTGTTAAAGTAAGTTTACCATGGTTATCAGAGCAAACAAAAAATTATCTTATATTTCACTTTTATGGATCACACATAAACACATATATTAATTTTATTAAAGTAAAACTTGTTATAGACAGTGAGTGCAAGAAAGCAGTGAGACATTTCTATCCTTCTCACAAATTCTTTCATACACTGTTTACTCTTATCTTTCTAAATCTGTCATCTAGCATCTTGCTTCCTACAGTGGTGCTTAAAAGTTTATGAGCCCTTTTGAATTTTCAATATTTCTGAATAAATACGTAGATTAAAATATAACTTTTTGGCTTGAATGAAAACTATTATGTTAACAAAAGGCAACACCACTTCCCAGCATAATAAAGTTATTATACTCATCTGTGAAGCATGGTGGTTAGCATATAATATTTTGGGCCTAATTTGCTGCCTCAGGACCAGGACAGCTTGCCACTATTAATAAAACTATGAATTCTGAATTGTACCAGCAAATTCTACAGGAAAAATGTCAGAGTATCGGTCTGTAAACTGAAGCTTAAGAAAAAGTGGCTCATGCAGCAAGGCAACAACTCAAAACAAGCAAGCTGTATGATTCAAGATTGGCTAAAGCAGAAAAAAAGTTAATATTTTAGAATGGCCAAGTTAAAGTCCTAACTTTAATCCTATAGAAATGTTAGGGAAGAACTCAAGGCAGACAGTTTATGCAAGGAACCCCACCAACATCCCTGAGTTAAATTGCTCTTTAAGGAGAAAGGGATTCAAATTCCTTCAAACTGATGTGCTAGATCAGGGGTGTCAAACTCGTGGCCCGTGGGTCGGATGTGTCATGCGCTGGCCATGCGCACCCCCATTTTAGCGAAGGGGAAAAGTCGTGATATGTCATGTGATGACAACGTGATGCTGCAAGTTTGACACCCCTGTGCTAGACTGATCAACAGCTATTGGAAACATTTAGTTGCAGTTATTGCTGCCCAAGGGGGCCACACCGGTTACTGAAAGAAAAATCATACTTTTGCCACACATAAATATGTACACAGATCATTTTCCTTCATAAATAAATGAACAAGTATAACACTTTTGTTTTATTTGTTTAACTGGGTTGTCTTTACATAGTGTTAGGACTTGCGTAGACAACAGATCATGTTTTAGGTTGTATTTGTGCAGAAATATTGAAAATTCAAGAGTTCACTGATTTTAAGCAGCATTGTACAACAACTGTTACCGTTCCTTAAAATTTTTCTGATTCTTTTTCTTTGCTGAGTCAGTTTGAATAAACAAGCTGAGCTAGAGAATCATCTCAACTTACTTGCAACAAAACCACTTTGTCTTGTAACTGCTCTGCTTTCTTCTTCCATTCTGCAGTCTGCTTTTGGGCTTTTTGTAGCTCAGCTGAATACATGGCTTTCTCTTCTAAAGTTAAAATATGCTTATTTAGCTCTTTAAAACACATTCATTATTAAAATCATATATTGAGAGAACAGCTTGTTCAACAAGTGTCACCAAAACAGTACCCAGGGCTTACCATGAAGGTCTTTTTTTTCAGAGTGAAGCCAGNTGACATTCAGGGTTTCATTAATTCCCAATTCATGATACTGACAAATCAGAGCAAAGGGAGGGAGCATTATTTCAAGAAAATCTGTTAGGGGTTATATGGGGGAGGAGACATCAGCCAAAAATTACTGGAGTTACCTTTTTGCTTTCCCCCTTTTCAATGTATTTTTTCATCTTTTCTTTTTTCAAAAATGCTAATTCCTCTTTTTCCAGGAAAAAGTAAATTATACTAGTTAAGAGGTCTGAAGAGGACATTTGAAATATTAAAAAAAAAACAGTTGATCAGGAAAGCCTAGAAACTCTTATAGTTTTGTTGCAGATATTTAAACACAAAAGCACATCTTTTGTAAATTACACAGTTTTCTTCCCCCTCCCTTACATTTCTCACCTGGGTAGCTTCTTGGTTCTGCTTGTCCAGTTCTTCCAATTCTGCTATTAGAGTTTCTTTTTCAGCACTGCTTTCATTCAATTCATGTTGTTTCTTTAACATGTGTTGTAGCTGATTTTCCAAGTTCTGTTCTTTCATAGTACTAACAGGTTGTAAACCTCCCATTTCTTGGTTAACTTCTCCCTTAATTTAGACACAAAAAATATCTTAAATTTAATAGGATAAAATCAATTTGAACATAATTATTTAAAGACTTATTTTTTTTCTGAAATAAACAGCAAAGGAGTGATTACATTTTTAATTTTAGAAAGTTTCAAATGGACTCAGGGACAGGTAAATATGAAAGAAGCTTTTGGATTCTTAATTATAAGAATCCTTTCTATTGGAAAAACATGGTAGGAAGGGATTTTGAAGGTTAGATACTAGAGGGAAGTAAAAGGAACAAAATATTATAATTAAAGGTGAAGAACATTCAATATCCTGAAGGATATTTTTGAACAATAGACCTTTAATGTTGGACATATTGAAGGTTATTTTTGAACAATAGATCCAAAAATGAATTTTAAGGGTGTAGAGATACGATGAGTTTAAAAGATGTTACAGAAGAGGAAAAAGTTCTATTGAACAAGCCTGAGACTGATCTGAAAGGAGGTTTAAAGATACAAGAATGGTATGAAAAAAGATGCTACACTGGACACAAAAAAAGAAACTGGTTGATGCCTTAATAATTAAAAAGGATATTCAAATAACAAACCAAGAGAGTGACCTGATTAATTTTCCTATACTGGATTTACAAAAGAGGGGTGTTTGAAGAATTTTGTTAGAAGAGACAAAGAGAAAAATGAAAAGATTTCAAATTTTAGACCATTATATGAAAAAACTAATGATTCAGATTGCTAAAAGTAAATGGAAGGAATATAAAGTTGGTTTATTTGGTTAAAATAGCTATATTGTTATCTTTTGTAACCTTTTATTGATCAAGACTGAAATGATGAGATTTTTAAGTACCTTTGTATGGAATGGTAATTTATGGAATGATGGAATATGGGAAGAAGATACCATTTGCTGCATTTTAAGAAAAAGTGGTAAGTTACTAAAAAAATTATATTTGTTCTCTTTATATTTGTTTTCTCTTCCATTTTACTATATTATTTTTTCTTTCTTTTCTATTTTTCTATTTTCTTTTGCACCTTCATTTTTTTCTTTTTTGTTTTGTTAGTTGCAGTTTTTAATAAAATTACTATTAAAAAAGGATTTTTGTGTGTTCAATAACTGATTCTCTGAACTGCTTGCCTTATTCCAAAACAAGTTAAATTCAAATATTTGCCTGATGCTAAATTGAAAATAAAAGAGTATCCCTTTGTGGAAAATGTAAGCCAATGACTTCTTAAATGATATGTGCATACTGAAGGGGAAAAAGGGGGAGGGAAGAGGAAAAATATTGAGTTACAGAAACCAAGGTAAGGCACATTACTTGTTGTTTATGCTTACTCATACTGCAGCTCTGATATGAACTGGGCTATATTTAATATTTACTTTTGATTTTTTGTCATAACTGGTTGAATTATAATTGTCTTAACTTAAGCAATCCTAAAAAAGCTTTGTTCTTGTAGTGTTTTATAAATTTTAGTATTATTTATGTCCTTTTATAGTGAACTAACATCTCATAGCATTTACATAATTCATTGTAAAAGTATTTGTAATTTGATAGGTTTTGATGTTTTTTAATTCCTGTATTCTGTAATTTTACATTAATAATATTCTTTTTATCTTATCTTAGTCTATCAATATGATTTTGTTTATTTCAGACTGAAGTGATTAGTTGTATAGTTATATTAGTTATTAGTTTTGGAAGGTTAATGGTTTACAACTGTTGCTCTAAATTTTTTATTTATATAAGAACACTAGCTTTTCTAACATCTTAAAATGTAACAAAAATCTAATTATACTTACAGCATAGTTTTTGCATGCTATATTGCACTATACTCCATTTGATGCAGAAATGTTATACTTATTGGCAAACGACAAAATAAACATATAGTGCTTATTTTTATTTATCAAATGTACATGGCCACTCATCTCACATAAGGTGACATTTGGCAGTGTACAATAAAACTAACAATTGGAACATAAAACCTGTTAAAACAATTAAATTAATTAAACATAATTAGCAATATGTTTGCATGGGAGTAGAACATAGTGTGATAAAAGGGGTAATGCAAGAACTACAGACCAAAAATATAGATAACTAAAGCTTGTATTTATGTGAATACAAATAATTATTCATAAGAACAATAGTAGTGCCAATTAAAAAAAATAGGTAGTATCATGTTTCTCCAAAAACACAACCCACCCCAATAATAAGCCCAACCCTAATTTTTTGGGGGTGGGCCTAATATTACCTCTACCCCAAAAATAAGTTCGGGGGGAATAGGTGTGGCCAACACAAGTGGCAGCGCAGGGGGGAAACTGTCCAGCTGCAGCCCGCTGGTTCCTTGTAACAGCGCAAATACCACTTTTGCCCTTCTCTTTCTGGGCGCAGTGCTTCTGCTTGATGGGCCGCTTATAGCTCACCAAGTCCAGCCTGCTGCACCTCAAAAAAAGTAAGACCACTTCGAAAATAAGCCCAAGTGCTTATTTTCAAGTCTAAAAGAAAATAAGACTTGGTCTTATTTTCTGAGAATTGTCTTTATTATAATCAAAATAGAACCAGGTTTCTTGATTTCAAAAACTTTATCTCATATAGCAAATATTTACTTCTATACAATAATACAATTTCAGGAACATTATTTTTTATTATTTTTATATTACCTTTTACATAGTTACCTGATTTAATGTTTTCAGTTTTGTTATTTCACTTTCTGCATCTGTAAAAATGTAAGCAGAAAGTTCATTGAAACAGAGAATTCAAATTGTTAATAGAATATTTCTTCAAGTTTTATTTATTAAGTTTATATGCCGCTCATCTCACTCTGAAAAGTGACTCTGGGCAGCTTACAATTAAAATGATAAATATAACAAATATTATAAAGATTAACTACAAAGAGAAGCAGGAAAAAAAAGGAAGATCAATAAAGCAGTAGCATCTTCTCAGTTAATTCACTAACAACTTCCAACTTGGAGCACTCCCATTAAGGTCTCTGGACAACAGGCAGAGCTAGGTTTTATCTCTTTTCCAGAAAGCCAAAAATATGGGAGCAGACTTCAACCCAGGTAGACCTCAAATACAGACATATTTCATAATGTGGAGGTTATGTGTACCACTCTAGGAGCAGCTAAAAGTGGCCAGTGGCGGATTCTATATAAGCTATACCTTCCAAACACTCTTCATGGATAGCCCCACTTGAAGCTTCTTGCAATAGTCCAAAAGGGAAGGTGATTAAAGCATGAATGACTGAGTGCATGTTCTCACGATCCAGGAAAGGGTGCAAGCAAGAGTTGTAATTCCAGGATGACTCCAAGTTGTGCAACTTTATCTAGAACTATAGATGATGAACTCCCAGATCCCAAGAAACTCTGCAGTCACTCTCTCTTACCAAGCTTCAGCTGAAGCCCATTGTCCCCCTTCTAGACCCCTACAAATGCCAGCACCATGAGGGCAACTTCAGCATCACTTGGGTCAACCATGATGGAGATATACAGTTGAGCATCATCAGTGTACTGAAGATCTCTCGTCTCATGGTGTCCGATGATCTCACCCAGTGGTTTCATGTAGATACTAAAAACAAGCGGAGCAAGTGCCAATCCTGCAACACCCCACAAAGGACAATCCATGGGCTAGACCTCTTACTCCCTTATCAACCCTGACTGGGACCAGCTTGGAAGGAGCTGAATCAGCAGAAAACTGGGTCCCTCAACCTCAAATGCTGCAGCTGACCCAAAAGGATACTATGGTCAACAATACTGAAAGCTGCCCAAAGATCAAAGAGATCCAGATGGAGGCATTACCCATATCCCACTCTTGCTAGAAATCATCTATAATGCAACCAATATAATTTCTTTCCCAAACTAATTAAACAGGTCTGAAACCCAACTGGAAGGGGTCTAGATAATTCACTTCATCTAGGATCCTCTGGAGCTGCAATGTGACCACCTTTCTACCACCTTCCCTAAAAAGGGAAGGTGAGAAACTAGATGAAAAATTGTCCAGATAGGTGGAGTCAAGTGATGGTTTCTTGAAATATACTGAGTAAAAGTACAGCAACAATTAAATATGACAAGTCCATTTATTATCATCTTTTGTATCATTTCAATACAATTTGGGGTAGGAAGAAAGACAGCCAAAAGAACTGTTTTTCAATATAATAAAGTACAGCAATACAAACAGGCCAACGGGTTTGGGATTTGTTTCCCCTTAAACTTCTTTTTCTAGAAAGGCTTGATCATCTCTTTTTAGGTATGAATATTTTCCTCACATACAATACTTGGATTAGGAATCAAAAAGCAGTATAGGAATCAACCACTTTTCAGCTTTCTTCTTTGAGCAGCAGCTTCTAATGCTGAAAGAGGCAGAGGAAACCACGAAAGGAAAGTACCAGAATAGAACACTGCTAAATGAAGAAGCACTTTGTGCATAAATCTCCAATCTTTGTTTCATGGAACTGTGTTCAGATGTTAAAATACAATATATCATATGGTGAATTTGCAGTGTTTTCATACCAAGTAGTGCTTGTTGCAATCGTTCCACTTCAGCCTTCAATGATTCTTCTACAAAACTAGGGACTTCCTCTACTTTTACACTGGCCTGTTTTTCAGGAATAGATATTTGGCATTCAGATTTTAGACTTTCGTATTCTTCTCTTACTTGATTTTTCTCTTTTTTTACAAATTCAAGTTCTTTCAAGAGAATATCTTTCTCCTCTTCTGCTGAAGACAATTGTTGACTTAAACATTCCACTTTAATTTGTAAGTCACTCAGGTTTTGTGGTTTTGATCCATTTTGTAGATCTATTTCAGAAGACGCTTCAGTATTTCCACCAACTAAGCAAGGAAACATAAATTTATATTAGAACCCAGAAGCACTGTATAATAATGCTATAATTATTATATTGAGTACANGCCCATCTAAATTTGCCATTGTGTTTCTCCTATGGCCAACCAGAAAGTAATTCAAGTCAGGTGGCCATTCCCAGGCTCCATTTTCCTTACCTATGTTCTGAATTCACTTTCCGAATTCAGCATAGGAAATGGGAATCCTACATCAAAGTTTAAGTAACATGACATAATGTCAGTCACACTTCCTATCATACGACTTTGATGCGGAAGAATTCAAATTCATCGCATACCTGTTCTCTTTCTTTCAGCATCTTTTCAAATGTAAGCGCTTTCTCCTTCATGGAATTATGTTCAAATTCCTTCTCCCTTAACATTATTGAAAACTGCATGTTGGTCTCTTGCAGTGCTCGGAATTCCGTTTCTTTTTCCTGGCTTTTTGCTGCTATTCTGTCATTTTCTTCCTTCAATTTACAAACATCCATTTCTAAAATCAGCGTCCTCTCTTTCAGGTTAGTGACACTTTGCTTCAGCAACTCATTTTCACTCTCCTTATTACCAAGATTTTCTCTCAGAGAAAGCAACTGGTCACCTTTTGATTTTATCAGCAGATCTTTTTCTTTGAGGGACATCTGTAAAATGTCAGATTTCTCCTTTAACTGCTTTATTTCCAAGCCAAATTCCTGTTGACACTTTCTTTCGGCCTCTGATGATACAGCCATAGAATCAGACAGTCTCTGATTATTTTCTTGTAAAGTCTGGATAAGCAAATCCTTTTCCTGCAATGTTTTCTTCATGAATTCTTGCCCCTCGTTTACTGATTTACACTCACTGTCAAACATCTGAGAAGTATTACTGAGAACTTCGAATGATTTCCCCTCAATAGTAGAAGTTACCAACCGTGGTGGTGTTACCATGTCAAGCTTTCCAAGGATTATATCCCGGGTATTATTAAGGTTTCCTATGCTCTGCTGAACTTGGGCTAATTCTTGAGTAAAGGTTTTTAACTTTTTCTCATTTTGTTCATAGCCCTGTATTAAGCCATTGTACTCTAGCTGTAGGTGGGAATTGTTTTCACTATCAACTGAAATTTGTACCTGAAGTTTTTGTAGTTCTTCTTGGAGATGACCAGACTCATGCTGCATATTTTGAACAGTAGTCATTACTTGTTTCTTCCACTCTTCCATTTTCTTTACTTGTTGTTTTAGCATGTCACGTTCTTGTAAAAGTTCCTCAAACTGATTACTATTAATTCCTGGTAACTCACTGCCTGAGTTTATATTGGAAGACTGCAGGACAGTTAATAAAGTTTGGCATTTCTGACTTAAAGCATCAATCTCAATATCTTTCTCTCGGATGATACGGGATAAGTTCTTTATAGTTTCTCGAGACATATCATGACTGCTACTTTCAAATTCGCTGGATAGCTTTTGGTTTTCTTCTAGTAACTTTTTGATGGCTGATTCCTTAGCTGCAACAATATCCACTAATTTGTGATAGTCTGTTTTTAACTGACTGTTTTCTCTAGTTTTTTCACTAAGAACTGCTAGCACTTGTTCCCTTTCCATGGCATAGGCCTGTAATTGCTGTTGAAGGAAAAGAACATCTTGCTTGTAAGATGGGGAGGAAACCGTTGCATGCAATGCTTGTATTTCTAAGTTTTTTTCTTGAATGATCTGGGTAAGTTTGCCAACTTCATCATTAGATAACTGGTCAATCTGTCTACTTAGCGAAATGTTCTTTTCATTCAGAAGCTTGATTTCCCTTTCTCTCTCCTTAATGCCTCTTATCAGCCTTTCAATTTCAACCTTAGATAGGTCATACTTCTCATTCCCATTTTCACCATTAAGTGCCTGAACTTTAGATTCCTGAAAAAGATCAGGAGAGTCTTGCTGAATTACCTTTCTTTGGTTGTTTAGTTGTGTCTTCATTTGTTCTACTGTTCTCTGCAGGCTTTGGATTTCTTCATCCTTCTCCATGCATACCTGCCTATGTACTATGTTCATTTGGTCATGCTGAAATTTGGATTCCTCAGTTTCCTTTTTGTATTCTTGTAGGGATTGCTGCAGTTGAGCCATTTTCAAGTTCTGATCCTCAAATGTCTTTTTGTTTAATTTCACCTCTTCTTCCAGACTATTTTTAAGTATAGTTACTTGTGTTATTTCTGCTTCAAGTTCTGTGATGATATCCAAGGTTTTGCGCTCAGCCAAAGGAGGGGACCTACTTTGTTGTTCTTTTAATCGCTCATTCTCTTCTTTCAAATGACTGGTCTCTTCTTTCATAGCTGAAAGACTTTTCTCCCTTTCCTCTAAATTCTGCTTCAGTCCCTCAATTCTTTTCATGTTCTCAATATAATCTTCATGTTGCTGCTCTAACTCAAAAACTCTGACTTTAAATTTTTCAACAAATACTTCTTTCTCTTTTATGAGCTCTGTCAGTTGTTTTTGCCCATCTAAGCTAGTAGTTAACATCTCTTTAGTTTCTTCATGATCTATTTCCATCTGTTCAATGTTCCTTTTGAGATTTGCTATCTCAAAGTCTTTGTCTTGAGAAAGTTTTACTAACCGTTCATGTTCATATTGTAATGCAGTGGTATCCATGTTACGGGCATTTGATAACTCCTCAATGGTCTGTTCATATTTATGAGCCTGCTCCAACAATCGTTTTTCAGTCTGGTTTAATTCTCTTTCTAACTGTCCCTTCTCAAGTTTCAAAGCTTCCAGCAGAGTATCTTTTTCAAAACCAATTTTACTCTTCTCACTATTAGCTATTTGCAACTGATGTTTAAGTTCCTCACATGCTAAATGAAGTCTTCCCTTTTCTGTTTGAAGATTCGTGATGGATTTCTCCAAATCTGTATTTATTAATTTATTTTTAGAAATTTGCTGCTTCAGGACTGATATTTCTTCTCCTCTTTCAGTGACTGAATGATCTTGATAACTATCAGATTTTTGACATAACTTGGTTAATTCACTTTTGAGAAGAGAACATTCTTCTTCTCTTTCAGTTAGATTTTTCTTTAATTCTATAATTTCCTGTTCATTTTTGGAGCTATAATGTTGGGATATTTCAAGTTGTTCTTTCAACTCTTTTATTTTATTTTCCTGGTGTTGGTTAGCCACGTGCAAATTGTTAAGGTCAAGTGAGCATTGATTCAATGCTTCTTTCTGGTTTTGCACCTCTTTGCTCATTTCCATTTTCTGTGCCTCCAACATAGATATTGTTTTTTCCCCAGATTTTACATCCTGTTTTAGCTGCCTGATAACTTCAGTGGCTTCTGCATTTTGTTTGGCTAGTTGTTCCTTTAACATAATCATATGCTAAAATAAAACAAAAATATTTTTATTTATGACATACAAGTAAAGCTTTAAGTCAAAATACTCTTATTTCACAATGTTTTCAAAGCATTGTATTTATGTTACTGTAAAGTGCCAATATCTTTTCCCAAAGAAATACTCTCTCTAGCAACACTGCATTTTACCATTTTTTTAACTAGGAAAAATTGTCTCCTCTTTTACAGAAGACTGACATTCAGGGTTTCATTAATTCCCAATTCATGATACTGACAAATCAGAGCAAAGGGAGGGAGCATTATTTCAAGAAAATCTGTTAGGGGTTATATGGGGGAGGAGACATCAGCCAAAAATTACTGGAGTTACCTTTTTGCTTTCCCCCTTTTCAATGTATTTTTTCATCTTTTCTTTTTTCAAAAATGCTAATTCCTCTTTTTCCAGGAAAAAGTAAATTATACTAGTTAAGAGGTCTGAAGAGGACATTTGAAATATTAAAAAAAAAACAGTTGATCAGGAAAGCCTAGAAACTCTTATAGTTTTGTTGCAGATATTTAAACACAAAAGCACATCTTTTGTAAATTACACAGTTTTCTTCCCCCTCCCTTACATTTCTCACCTGGGTAGCTTCTTGGTTCTGCTTGTCCAGTTCTTCCAATTCTGCTATTAGAGTTTCTTTTTCAGCACTGCTTTCATTCAATTCATGTTGTTTCTTTAACATGTGTTGTAGCTGATTTTCCAAGTTCTGTTCTTTCATAGTACTAACAGGTTGTAAACCTCCCATTTCTTGGTTAACTTCTCCCTTAATTTAGACACAAAAAATATCTTAAATTTAATAGGATAAAATCAATTTGAACATAATTATTTAAAGACTTATTTTTTTTCTGAAATAAACAGCAAAGGAGTGATTACATTTTTAATTTTAGAAAGTTTCAAATGGACTCAGGGACAGGTAAATATGAAAGAAGCTTTTGGATTCTTAATTATAAGAATCCTTTCTATTGGAAAAACATGGTAGGAAGGGATTTTGAAGGTTAGATACTAGAGGGAAGTAAAAGGAACAAAATATTATAATTAAAGGTGAAGAACATTCAATATCCTGAAGGATATTTTTGAACAATAGACCTTTAATGTTGGACATATTGAAGGTTATTTTTGAACAATAGATCCAAAAATGAATTTTAAGGGTGTAGAGATACGATGAGTTTAAAAGATGTTACAGAAGAGGAAAAAGTTCTATTGAACAAGCCTGAGACTGATCTGAAAGGAGGTTTAAAGATACAAGAATGGTATGAAAAAAGATGCTACACTGGACACAAAAAAAGAAACTGGTTGATGCCTTAATAATTAAAAAGGATATTCAAATAACAAACCAAGAGAGTGACCTGATTAATTTTCCTATACTGGATTTACAAAAGAGGGGTGTTTGAAGAATTTTGTTAGAAGAGACAAAGAGAAAAATGAAAAGATTTCAAATTTTAGACCATTATATGAAAAAACTAATGATTCAGATTGCTAAAAGTAAATGGAAGGAATATAAAGTTGGTTTATTTGGTTAAAATAGCTATATTGTTATCTTTTGTAACCTTTTATTGATCAAGACTGAAATGATGAGATTTTTAAGTACCTTTGTATGGAATGGTAATTTATGGAATGATGGAATATGGGAAGAAGATACCATTTGCTGCATTTTAAGAAAAAGTGGTAAGTTACTAAAAAAATTATATTTGTTCTCTTTATATTTGTTTTCTCTTCCATTTTACTATATTATTTTTTATTTCTTTTCTATTTTTCTATTTTCTTTTGCACCTTCATTTTTTTCTTTTTTGTTTTGTTAGTTGCAGTTTTTAATAAAATTACTATTAAAAAAGGATTTNTCTTGAAGAAACATTTCCTTGCATCAGAAGATTGAGCAATTATAAGTCAGTTTCAAGCATCCCATTTCACAAAAGCAACTGAGAATTTAGCAGCTTCACAATTCCAGGTGCTTCTGGATACTGTTTATCTGGCTAATTTCAATTGGACTTTCAGTTGGCAAAGCCACAGTAGCCAAAAATTGGAAGAGACGGGGTTACATACAATAGCAAAGAACTGAAATCTAACAAACTGTACAAACTATTGCATAATATCCATAATTTCCCATGCTAGAGAAATATAATACTTAGGTTCGTCCAATGTAGATTTGAGTCCTCTAGGTAAAGGGAAATATTAGACATTCAAACTGGCTTTAGAAAAGACTGAGGAAGAAGATACATTATTGCTGTGGCATGCTGTATAAATGAGAAAGCCAAAAATCCTCAGAAATAGTCAAAATATGCTTCACTTACTACACAAAACCTTTGAGTTACGTCAGCTCTGAGAATGTCCTTAAGAAAAAGAAATCCCAGAATATTATACTGTCCTCATGCCAAATCTATGTGCAGGACAGATAGCCACAAGCCAAACAGAACATGGCAAAACAGACTGGCTCTGGTGTGGTCAAGTGGTCAAGTGGTCAAGTAATAAGAAAGACTGCATACTCTCTCCTTATTTATTCAAGCTGTATTCTGAATACAGGTAGTCTTACGACCATTCATTTAGTGACTATTCAAAGTTACAACAGCATTAAAAAAAAGCAATTTATGACCAATCCTTGTACTTAGGACCATCACAGCATTGCTGTGGTCATCTGAACATCATTTGGATGCTTAACAACCAGCAGGTATTTATGATATTTGAAGTGTCCCAAGGTCACATGATCATCATTTGCAACCTTCCCAGCTGGTTTCTGACAAGAAAAGTCAACAGGGAAACTGCCAGGAGGTTATAAGACACAGTCATTTGATCTCTTGCTTAGTGACCCTGGCAAATATATTTATAAAATCAAATGCAATCGTGTGAAACCTGATTTAATGACTGCCCTGCTTAACAACAAATGTTCTGGCCCCAATATTGGTCATATGGCGAGGAATGCCTGTATACTGTACATTGAATTGGAAACAATGAGCATGGTTTTAAAACTGAAGAAAGAAACATGAATAATCTGCCCCTTGAGGTTAACATAATTTAGATAATTGCACAGCCACCCAGNCACTACAGGGGAGAAATGAGAGGCCCTGCTGTCCCACAGAGCCTGCCACTACTTGAGTGGGGAAGAAGAGGAGAAGAATGGCAAGACCCAGGGAGCAGGTCAGGCAGGGCTGGCTGGTTGGGAGAGGGGGATCATGGCTGCTCAGGTGACTCCTGCTGCCCCTGCCCCTGCCAGCAGCAGGAGTGCCCCGGCTGAACCAGGCATTGCAGTCTCTCTCTCTCTCACCCACACACAGTTTGAAGAGCCCTCCCTCCTCCTTCTGTCTCCCTGCAGCGGTAATTGCAGCACTTCAGTGCCTGGCTGGCAGAGCACTCAAGTAAGCTGGTGCAGGGTATGGCGGGGGGAGCTCTGCACCCCCCACCTTGCTTCATAATCCACTCACCACCACCTCGCTTTGTGGCCGCTGCACCAGTGCATTGCTCAGCCTCCTGCTAGGTTATGGTGGCAAGCAAGGAGAAGTGATGAAGAATGAAGCAAGGCGGTGGGGGTGTGTGGAGGACAAAGCAAGGCAGGTGGGGTACGGAGTTGCGTCACCCTGGCTTACCTGAGAGCCCTGCAGCCAGGCCACCCATACCAAACCCTCAACCACCACCCCAGGGCAGCCACACCTCTTCACTAACCTGCTTTCCAGCTCCATTTTTTTGTCACTGTGCAGGGCAACTAAAGTAGTCTGTGGGACTACAGTAAAAAAAAATAGTTCAGGTCTTCCAACTTCTCACAGAAAAAAAGTGATCTCGTGAGGTTGTAAGGTCTGAACTATTTTTTTACCATAGTCCCATAGAGTACTGGCGATGGAGAACTGACCCTGTCTGCGCTTGCAGGGATGGTGTGGGTCGGGCCGAAGAGACATGGGTCAGACCTTATAGTTTCCATGATGGCCATGCAGGTTGAATTCGGCTTCATTGTGGGCTGTATCTGACCCCCGGGCCTTGAGTTTGACACCCCTGATATATGTAATCTATATTACNACTTTTACACTGGCCTGTTTTTCAGGAATAGATATTTGGCATTCAGATTTTAGACTTTCGTATTCTTCTCTTACTTGATTTTTCTCTTTTTTTACAAATTCAAGTTCTTTCAAGAGAATATCTTTCTCCTCTTCTGCTGAAGACAATTGTTGACTTAAACATTCCACTTTAATTTGTAAGTCACTCAGGTTTTGTGGTTTTGATCCATTTTGTAGATCTATTTCAGAAGACGCTTCAGTATTTCCACCAACTAAGCAAGGAAACATAAATTTATATTAGAACCCAGAAGCACTGTATAATAATGCTATAATTATTATATTGAGTACATAAATAAAAATAATAAAATTAAAACATCAATCAAAATATTTTGTAAAATTCAATATTTCTTAATTTCTTCTGCATGAAAATTAAAAACAAGTATTTTGCAAAGCTTTTTGCAGCATTTCTACTGGTGCTGTCAAGTCTTATTTGTAGAAACTCACAGCCATGGTTTGGTTACCGGTAAATTAGAATTTTCACTGCCAATGATAAGGAAGCAATGTACTTGATTGCTTACTGCACTACAAAAATGTCTGGATTGTATATATTCTCATAGTTTTAAATTAAGCTTTATTTCTCATGACCTACTGATTTAATGGATACTTTTCCATTAGTAGTTACAATGGAGAGTAGTCATTATAAACACAGCAGGCATTCTGTGTTTATATAACATGAAGAGAGATGCATTGCAAGGCCTTTCTGTTGGATTTGCAAATATTGCTAAATACTTGAAACAAACATAATATGCCCTGCATGCATATCTTCCTTACTTTTCCTCTTTTCCATTGTAGAGAAACTACACAGAAAACAATAGATATCTTGGATATCTTTAATAGTATAAAATGGAGAACACATGAATATGAAGAACTAGGAAGTACAACATCATTAATGCCATTAATGCCAAACAACTATACCCTAAGTTTTAAAGAAATTAACTGAAGGATTATCAATTAATTTTATCAATGTTTCACTTTACATAAAAATTTTATTTATGAATGAAATTTGTAAGGTTGCCCAACTCATACTTATGACTCTAGGTGAGCTATATGCACAGAAAAAATACACAAAATGAAACAAAAAATGAAAAGTAATAAAAAACAAAAATATCAAAAACGATCATAAAAATAGTTAAGGATGGATGAGAGAGGTAATCACTCTATAGGAAAACAGGCTCAATTACCACCTATCCTGTACAATATACAAGAGAACAAGCATGCTTTCACAACTCTACAAAAGGCTAACAGTTTTGGGATTTGTGATCTGAATCTCAGTGGATGAAATTCCAAGGCTAACAGGAGAATCAATAGCAATGTTCCTTACATTCACATCATGCCACTATTACTCTGAGATCCTGCTCTACTTCCACCACCCCAATGTACTTCACACACTCAATGGCTCAAGTCAGGCCCTTAATTGCAATAGTAGCCATGAATTCCTAAACCATTTCCAACTTTATGCTCAAGATAGATTTGTTTGTTGGTTTGTTTATTCATTTATATATTTATCATATTTATACATATGACCAATTTACTTCAAGTTAAGTCCCCAAGACCATAAGCCTGAGAAACTCAACCATCAATGTGGTCATGGTGTCCAATCATTTCCACATTTATAAAGCTCCCTTTTAAACTCATTTACAGTTGGACATAACAGAGAACAAATAAATGATTTTTAAAAATTATTTCTTGCAGGTTACCAGCCAGCCAAACAGAATCAAAGAATCAAGATTTAGCTTAAGGAACTTCCTTACTGATGCTATTTTTAGTATTTGTGTCACAATGTTGCACTTTGGTACTTAACAGGCAAAGCATGTATCATAACATTATAATACATATTTTGTCATCCTGACAAAATCTGTGTTTTCTGTAAGAGGTTTGTATGGTAGCATCAAGTCTCTGAAATAATCCCAATTAAAAAATATTTCTAGCATTGGAAGTACAGCATTTCCAGTTTCAGGACTAGAGATATTTATGTTTCCAAGGATTTTAACTGGCCATATAATTTCACTGATTATAATGAATGTTTCCTGTTTCACAAATATTATAGTTCCAGTTTTTCTTACGAGAACTGTACTGGTAAGTTAGAAGGGTTATACCTATGAAGATATTATTCATTTTGGGTGCTCAGTAGTCCAGAATTTGCAAATTATATAAACTACTGCTTGGAATAAAATTATACTTGAAATCAGGTACTCTTTCTACATGCTTAATATGATAACAACTTTTTTAAAATCCTTTTGGAATTCTGAAGAATAAACAAAAACCTTTCTGTAATTGATCCTCCAATTCTTCTATTCGTTCCTCATATTCACTTAGTTCTTCTCTATGACGTCGGCTTATCTCTGTTAATTTCTGATGGTGTGCATCTTGCAATACTGAAAGCTCATGCTGGTGCTTGTCTATTTCTTGGCTCAACTTGTGTTTCACTTCCTAAAATGTGTAATTAATGAAAAGTAAATTTCATGATTTGAAAGTTTAAAGTTCATTATGGTTTTAAATTTTAAATTTAAAGTTTAAAGTTCATTCTGGGATACTTAATTTATTAACAATGCAAAATATCTGAAGACTCACTCACTTATAAAGGAAAATATGAAACTTTTAGTAAAAAAATGTCCATGAGTGATTCTGATATTGTACCTTGTTGTTTTATTAAGGAGCACTCAAAAGATACAATGCAAATCGTTGCTTTCCTTCATAAGAAAGCATTATTTCTAAATATTTCAAGATGTATATTTATAGTCATAGTCATATTCAAATATTTTATTCAAAATAACTTCAAAAAGCATTCATAAATGTCCCTGCATTAGAGGAGTATCCTAAATCTATAGCAATTATGAGTGATCTCACTTAGGAAAAAAGGGATGGGTGTTGTTTTTTTACCTTGATAATATTTTGCAGCTTGCAGATTTCATTTTGATCTGTACTGTTTTCTCCTTGAGGCTTAGAAAACTAAATGAGATGATGGAGAAAAAAGATTTAAAATGCTGAAAGAAGTTTAGGCTTAACAAATTTAAAAAATGATGTACAGCAGCAACAAGGCAGGATCTTAAGAAAATTATTCTTGAATGGTATTTAATAAATCAAAAGTTTCAAGCTATATGACGAGTGTGGCCTAGTGAACAGAACACCAGGACCCACCACAAGGATTAAGCATGTGTCTTATGTTATTCAAATTGCATCTGTTAGCTTCAATTCAGTCAATAATTTAGGAGCTTCATAAGCTAAAGCTCAGCTCTATGTGCAGCAGTTTACAATTTGCCTTTTTTCCCCACCCTGCCTCATTAAACATACTGAAGCAATGCATTCCCAATATAAACTTATGATTCATGTTTATGCTGAAAGATGAAACTTTTACAGAAATATACACAGCTAACTATTCAGAAATCCTGATGCTGGGGGGTGGGGGGGCTGCAACATAGTTATCAATGTTGGTACAGGTAATCCTCAGCTTACGACCAAAATTGAGCCCAAAATTTATGTTGCTAAGTAAGAAATTTGTTCAGTGAGTTTTGCCTCGTGTTACAACTTTTTTCACCACATTTGTTAAGTGAATCACTGCAGTTCTTAAATTAGCAATACAGTTGTTAAGTAAATGTGAGTCGGTTGTCAAGCATATGAATGCAAATCATGTGACCATTGGGATGATGCAATAATCGTAAGTGAAAAACGGTCATGCCATTTTTTTCAGTAGTGTTTTAACTCTGAACGGTCACTAAATTACCTGTTGTAAGTCGAGGACTACCTGTATATTTTTTATTCATTGCCACAAATAAAAAAATATGTAATGATATACAATTAAATTACAAACCTGCAGAATTGTGGACTCTGAATCAAATATTAAACAGAACACTGTCACTGGAAATAAACAACTCTTGTGCCACTCAGGCAAGTTCCATTAATATTAAATTTAGAAATTAGATAATTAATAATACCTCTCTTACTAAGTCATACTGCCATTTAAAGGAAAAAGGCAGATCAGGTGGAGCTGGCTGGTTGGGGAGGGGGGAATCATGGCTGCTTAGGTGGCTGCCACCACCACCAGCAGCTTGAATGACCCAACTGAAGCCGGAGTTCATCACTACAGGGGAGAAATGAGAGGCCCTGCTNAAAAAGTTCATGTTTGGACCTGAATAAGCATAACACTACTATTTGATGATTCAAACCAAATATGGTCAGAAACCTGATGAAGATTCTTCTCTCAACTCTAGGTGGCTTACAAAAAAAAACACCAGGCAATTGGTAATCATAGGCGCCCTGGCTCATATTTATACTTTACTCCCCATGGAGCTGTGCTTTTCCTGGGCCAATGCCCAGAGGTATAACCAGATTTCAAAACCCTTTCTGAAGCCAACAGGGTTAATTTATATAAGCTAATTTAGGCCATAATATAGTACATCATATTCCTGGGCCCAGTGGCCATAGTCCTTTGTTTGTTTGTTTTACATTGAGCATGCATTTTGTCCTGTGTGATGCACTATTATTTTCAAAAAGTTCATAAAGGAGCCATTAGTTATCACAGAGCTGAAGGTAAACTGGGCTTTGCTTTGCCCTCAAATTATAGCTTGTTCTTATTTATACAAAGGTAATTGTTGTATCACAACATATTTTCATTTTGTTATTAAATTTTTATGCTGTCCATCTCCCTTATAAGGCAACTCTGGACAGCTACAGATTATTACAGGATTGGGACTTTATCTTCAGCATGTATTTTCCCAAGCACCTACCTTTGACGGAGGACAATGAACCAAGCAATGTTTGCCCTTTGGAATATTATGCCATCCCTCCCGAGGGAGTGAGATTGGCTCCATCTCTGATGTCCTTGCAGAAGTCCCCCAAAACCTGGCTCTCGGTAGGCTTGGGAATCTCAAGGAAGTGAGAAACATTCAACATTCAAGTGGTGATTTAATGAGGTAAGCTACATTGCTTGTAACATCTAATAATCTTTTCTAGCAATTAAATGTTTTAATTTTGAAATTAAAATATATTTTAAGAATAATTTTCAATATTGTGACTTTGTTTTTTATTGTACATTGCTCAGGATCATTTTTGTGAGATGGGGGCATATACGGTAAGTATGATAAATAAATTCTAGAGCATTGATCTGGTTATAATGCCAATGGAATAAAAAACTCTTAGAGGACATTATTTAAAAAGGCCTTGGCTATGAAGGAAATCCAGATTTTTTTTCAGTTCTTCCACCAAAAGTGGATTCTATAAGTTTTCAGTTTTAGGAATGTTCACTATTAGAAATGGACAATTTTCAAGGCTGTGCATTAATGTAATCCCCAAGTAGAGAAAATTTTAAACTACTAAAATCTCTCCCAAAATCTACTGCATTAACTTTATGTAAACCACGAAATGTTTTACCACAAATTGACACTTAAAGAAGGGTTCCACCTTTTTTTAAGTGTACATGTTAACTGGAAAAATTATTTTTAAAAACTTTGCTTCATAATTTATATTGTATGTGTTTTGAAAAGATAACTTGCTTTGATGAAGACACGCATTTGAAAGAAGTGGACCTAAATTCATCCAGATTCAACTTGTCCACAAGGACACAATTTATTGAAAAAATAAGAAAAAATAAAACTATGGTTTTTACAGACTAGTATGATTTCATTTCATAACTTCTATACATCTTTTCATATATTTCTTTTCAAGTAGTAACTTAAACACAATTAAAATGAATGCATGTGGCTTTATGTAATTAATGCTGTTTTTTTTCCCAAAACAATGTGCAGTAAATATGGTAATTTTTTGTTAATAAATAAATTAGGCAGATCTAAAATAGCTACCTTCTGTTTACTGACTGGCAAAGCTAGATACACTCTTATAGTATTTATCCCTGGAACAAATCGCAGTGCTTGTACTTCTGTAATAGTTTCACAGAAATCAACAGCATATGAAACATGAAAATAAGAGGCATTTGGCTTTCATATTTAACTCTCTCCTTAAATAATTTTTATAAACAGATATTATCAAAATCAATTTTAATATTGTGTTATTTTATAGTACCATAATGTGCACATTTACTAATCATTCAGTAGCAAAGAATGACACATCAACATGGTGCAATATAATAATTTTAAAATAATTTGCAAAACCTAATCAATTTCACAAGATTTTTTGTATATCTGGCAAGTATCCATAGGTTTAATGAGTATTTCATTTGTATCCAAAACTATAGCCTTAATATGTATATGTAAACAGAATGCATTTTAAAGCATTTTTTTTTTACAAAAAAAACTATTTTAATACAAAATGCCAAATTCAGTCATCCTGCAATATTTGTTATGTAACATTTGACTATCAGAATAAAACTAGCTTACAGAATTTGCTTCCCAGTTTCCCTTGGTAACAGAAACAGAATAAACAGTAAGGTGCATGAATGAAGACCATTCATGAAAAGCTGCAAATCTGTTACAAGAAGACATTCATTAATATCTGATAAAGTACATACTCATACACATTCATTTATGTATATCCATTTTTAACACCTAAGTAACTGTGCAGGGTTCATTTCAGATGTTACTAATGCATATTAATAATGTGGCACTGAAATCATGGCATCAAAATCTTTTTTAACTTCCTCACTTCAAAATTAATATGGAATCTTGGAAAGGCTATTAGCTCAATGTAGGAAGTCCTGGTTTAATTCTAAGTGTCCTCCTTTAAAAGCAATTCAGGTAGCAGATTCTTGCTTGAGACTGGAGAATCACTGCCAGAGTAGGTAACTCTAACCTAAGTGGACCAATAAGCTGATTCAGTACAAAGTAACTTATGTCCAGCTTGATAGTATTAATACTTACAGAAATATCTAACAGAAGATAACATATTAATACCAAGTGAAATAATTATAATAACATTTATCAACTATATCCAACACTTTTGACTTCAGTTAATCGGATTCTAGGTGTTCGCTTAATATATATACTAGATCAGTGCATCATAGCCAGTATTGGCCCAACATTTAGTAAAAAAATACTAAAGGCATTTTTAGAGCAAAACAAGGAAGAAGTCTTGAGTCTGCTATTGGAGCGGGTTCCTCCTGTGTGCCCATCAAATCAGCTTTGGAAGATTGGAATGCGTGGAGGCAGATCTGGAGGAGCAGGAGAATAAAAGCAGGATGTTCCATTTTATGATGATTGTAATACTCTAGCACAGTCTTCCAAAATAAGTTTGATGGTCTGCAAATATCTTGCTATTCTTAGTCAAATGTTGTTAACTGATTAAATTCTGGAATTAAGCTGATGCATGTAATTCAAATATCTCACAAAAGTGAAGGTGATTTGTGTTATATTCAGTCTCTTAATCTGGAATCTTGGAAGTGCACTGTAAACATGATACTTAGAACGCCTTTGAGCATATATGTGAAACTACAATTTTTTACATTTCACATAATCTTATTTAGCAAAATTCCAAGCCTTATTCTATAATCAGGTGATGCTCGATCTTCCTGTTAAGAATACATCCTGCAAGAAAAAGTTATCACAACTGAGAAGAACTGCTCCCCATACAAAGATCTGCAGATACCATAAACTCAACCTGGACATCTATGGATCAGAAAAATATTGAATGAAATTTTATTGTATATTAATACCCCTTTTCTCACTGTTCTTCTGACTGAATAGAAATTACCCAGAAGGTCAATAGTATAACCATAAACTAATGAGATTTTATTGTATAGTAACCAATTTTTTTTTTAATTCTGATCCTCAGTCTGAAATCTCACAACTGTATCTTGCTTTGGTACATCAATGAAATGAACCCTACCTTTATGCCACCCACACAGAATTAATACAGAATGTAGTGTTCAGATTAGAATAAATATAAGTATTTGTCATTTCTTTTCCTCTGTATTCAAGCTGTTTGTAACTGTTTCCAAGGACATATTCATAGCGGCTTGAAGCATATCATTTTCACTGATATCACCTCCTGAGAAGAAACAAGAAAATAAGATATATTTGTTCTAGAAAATAACAATTTAAAAAGACAGAAAAAGATCTAGTTCTGATGCTCATAGCTTACTAGTTCAAGACAGTAGTGGGGAACTTCTTGCTGTCAGACAGGCCTATCCAGGAATTACCAAAAGACCTATTAACCATTTCCTGCTTTCTGCTACCAATTGTGCAATATAGGCAGTCAGATCCACTTTACCTTTGTCTTTTTTTTTTAATGAAGAGTCAGAAGATGATCTGACTGACTGATGTAAGTTAAACCTCTGCAATGTCATGTGGTCTTCAAGTCAGGTAGGAGTTTGGATTAACTTGGAAGTAAATCTATTTCTCCACTCTAGGTTTAGGAATTTGGTAAAGAGGACTGGGGTCATTTCTCTCCCGCCCCCTCTATTTATCCTTCCCTTGGTAGATTCATAGAGAAGACTAGATTGCATTCAAGTACAGATTCCTCTGAACAGGAAAGCCCTTGGCTTAATATTAAAAATAAAATAAAAAAATTAGGAAGCTTCAAACCAAAGTTAACAGATGCCCATCTTTTTTTTCCAGATATTTTGAGATGTGTCTGAACATTTAGCTTATACATTTATTGCAAAACTACCATAGGTTTTCAGAAAAGTTCAAAACTAAACCAAACAAAAAATAATAAAGCTGACATAAATTCTAAAAGAAAAAAACAACAGCAAATATTTATTCTATTACATTTACAGTCTACCTTTCCTGTTGGGCTAAAAGAAACCAACCATATTACAATCAGTTGAATGTGAGTCTTTCTCGCCTGCCTTGTTCATTTTAAGTACTACACCACAATGGCTCACTTGCCTAGTTAGTTAGTTATTCTATTTCATTATTCATTCTTTGAATAAATACCAGAAAACATCCTCCACACAAAATGTATTTGCTGCTTCTGGTAATCTGTTCCCAAGCCTTTTACACTTTTAAAGTTGTATAAGAAGTGATGCTGCAGAGGTGGCTAGCATTGCAACATGCTAGCCACCTCTGCAATTAACACAACATTGCAATGATGATGTTCAAGATGGCTAATTCCAATGTGCATTCTGCATTAAGTGGAATTTTCTAAAGTTAGTCTCATATATAAAGCATTGTGAACCCTAGCCACAGATTTTCAACATATGGTTAATGGCAGATAAATATCTATGGTATCCAAATAAGTTCGTGATTAAAGGTGAATTTTACCCTATGCCATTGAGACCATTAGAATTAGAACTGATTCTACGAGCAGTCCCAAGTTACAAATCTAATCGAGGAGTGATACAATTTAGAGTAAACTGAACAGATTCTTTCCCCAGTTTATTAGTCCTCATCTATTACCAGATTCAAGCATCAATTCAAAACAAGTACTACCGTGCTTGTACTTGATGAAAAAGGACAGAACTGGGTATCATTTACACAATGGTATTTCATTGCTATTCTCTATATAACCTCTATAAAGTAGATGCTCGAAATAAACACAAAATGGTATTTTAGAAGACATCCCCCACACAATGGAACTGCCACAGGGCAGAGCATCAGTGCTTTCTGAAACAAGTTGTCTAAATGTCAGACGGCATTTCCCAGAAGGATATGCTGACCAATGATACAGAAAGCTATTAAGATATTTGATAAAATGTATTAAACAAAGTAAAAGATATCTTTGGCTAATCATTTGAAAGAATAACTGGAAAAATGTGTTGAAATCTGGCAAATAAAAGCAATACCTCTATCATTAACTAGTGTGTGTGAATTAGTAGCTGCTTCACCATGGAACTGTTGAATCTGAACTTGCTTTTGCAGCTGCTGCTGTCTAAAACAATCAAAGAGAGAAGTATGCAGCATTAATTATTATATGTAGAAAAGCCTATAACTTTATGATTCCTTGCCTTTCTTCATCCAATTTAATTTTTCCTATTAAATAATGAAGTAATATTTGAAAAGTTCACAGTGCAGGAAGCTGGACCGATATATTTCAATTTTTGCACTACACACATTAACACACGCACATATGTGTATGTATGTATGTTTAAAATATCCAATTCTAAAAACTGATCAGGTAGGTGTAATATTTAAAGTATATTGATTCCAGAGAATTAGCCAATAAGCTTACTAACAATTGTTGACAAAACACCACATTTTGGTCTTTTCTCCTAGATTCCATTTTTCTCCGAATATACAACACAAAAATATTTTGGAATCAGACTATTGGGAATTACATCTAATTCCAAAGCCAGGAGATGAGAAACCATCCTTGAAAAGGCTAAACCAGTACATTCTCAGAGAAAAAAAGAAACAATTTTTTTTTCTCAGGAGCACCTGAAAGTTGTCTGATCAGGATATGGAGTTTGGCACATTACTATGGTTGAATGTGCTTCTGGTCAATAATTATAGTGATGATTATTAGAAGAAAGTAAGTCTGCCTGTTAGTGCACTTTCAGTTATTACCTTTCTTTGAATTAATGCAACATAAAAACTTTCTTCAAAATAAAAATGATAATCACAGATAATTATACATGTACATAAAGTAGATAAGAATTATAGGAGTACCAATTGCTAATGAATGTATTTTACTATTACATAATAAGGAGATGTATTTTGGTACTATATTCAAATTAATTTATAATTTAGAACAAGCCAAGAGATGGATTAGTAATATGCTTAGGAAATGAGGTCTTATTAAAAAGAAGCACTAAAAAGAATGATGTCAAGAGGCAGGCAGTATAGCATTTTCAATTAAAAATAGTAACATTGCTGTTACATGAAGTTTGCCAAGAATTAATCAATGAACACATAAATATGGCACTAGAGATCAATTATCAATTTGCTACTAGTTTATAATCTATACTGCCCTAAATAAAAAAAATACTTAAATCATCATGATAAAGCATCATACATTCATTTGCATTTCAAACTGGAACAATCATCTATATAACTGACCAATGAATTAGTTACGTAGGTAGCGTGATTTGCCCAAGAACGGAATCCTGCTATCTGCAGCCAGCATGGTGCCTCAGTCTTGTACTATAATATCAAGCCAAAAGAATCAAGATATTTGCAAAACTGAGTGAGTGGTTCAGGAGTTTAAGAACCAGCTAAATACTGGTATGAGTTAATTCAGGGGGGACGACACCTCAGCAGTCTCCTAGTACTTTGGACTACAATTCTATGTTCTAACCAGCATAGTTGGTATTAGAAAAAATAGGAATTGTAATCCAAAATACCTGAAAAACATCAAGTAATAAATTTAACAAAGGCTTCTGGGGCTTGCCACTCACAAATTATGCTTTACACAGTTTACATTACTTTTCAAAATAGGCCTGTCTTCGACGCCGCAATTCTTCTGATGGGAGAGATTCAGTTTGGCCTGTTGCAGATGAGTGTGGAATGTTCTGTGTGCAACAATCTGAGAAGCCACTTCGATGTTCTCCTAAAAGTCACACACACCCACTTATTGGGAAGGTTAAGTTAACCAGGATATTTACTACGTGTCGCATAAAATAACAAAAGCAATCTACAATACACATTTGTATAATAGTAATTATAAAATAAAAAAATTAAACAGTAATAACAAGGAACAATATCTTTTTTTTAAGGAACAAAAGCAACTGTCATCAATTATACTTTAAAAGTATAGAACAAACCAAATCAAACCAAAAACACCCCCAGATTGGTTTCCTCCACAGCTGACAATAAAAAGGCTGGTGCCAGTTAGACCTGCTCAGGGAGGACATTCCACAAACCAGGACAAGATCCTGGCTTTCATCCTGACTAGAATAAATGGAAGCTCAAAATGAACACTTTCACCTGTGATCTCAGTTCTTTTAATAGCACTGCTTTTCAAAACCAGGACACCAAGAGGTCTAGTCCTGCCTTAGTAATGAAAGCCAATCGTGTGATTTAAAGCTGTCACTTTCAGTTCAACTCACTTATTTACACAAATAAATTTAAAAAACAACACTGGTATAATCCTACTTAGTAGCTGGGCTACCAACTTGAATGTTTCATATCATCTTAAAAGAAGTCCTATTCTATTGTAAGTAGCAGTTGGATTTGGATATTATAACAGCATGGATAATAAATAGCAATACATATTTTAAGATTATCAATATATTTTATATGACTGATTAATATGAAATGGGAGGGCTGCTCAAAATTAAAACTAATAATAGCAGATTTGTATTTGCAGGAACACATTTTTTAATTTAAAAAATAAGACCAATTTCCTTTGAGTGAGCAATAAAGCCAACTCTTATAAATCTAGTCTCAATGTGTTCATATATGTTCTATCTTCTAAATGTATTGTATCTAGCTGCTAGTTCCATTTAGGCCCTTAGGAACACCTTTGTTAGGGCTAGNGAACTGACAATGAAAACACAGAAATAGTAGATATTTTCTGTTTTAGGATCAGCTCTCTACAGTAAAGGAACCATCAGTCAAAAATACACTACAAACTAGAACGTAGTGGGGTATAAATGAAATATACAGCATCTGATTATATTTTCAAATAAACTTTGTAAAAGATAATCAGATGCTATAACATGTCATTAGATTAGAGATTAGAATCATATAAACATTGGCTTTCCTTGTGACATTCCATAGATGTGAAAGATTGACCTTTGAAGAAGCAGAATAGAAAGAACACTAAATTTTGGTGTTGGAAAAACAATAAATAGCAATGAAAACAAACAAATGGATCAGGGAATAAATCAGAATTCTTAGTCAAGGTGTAAATGACCAGGTTCAAGCTGTAAGAATTTGGATGCATTATGCAAAGACCTACATCCCCAGATAAATCCATAACATTGGGAAAAGAAGAAAGAAAGAGGCTAAAAGAGTAACCAGCAATAAGAAGGATGGAGTTGATTACAATAGTAATGAATACATCACTGAGAAACTTTAAAAGACCAGACTGAAGACAAGAGCATCCTGAAGAAAGTCTATCTATATGTTTGCAAAGAGAGGAAACAAACTTAAGACCACATAATCTATCAATTAATTTTCAATTTAGCTACTGAGGTCCTTTCTAACCAATCTGCCAGATTAATTTCAAATCTGGAACTATAATGCCAATCATCTGGTCTGCCTCTTTGGCGTACAAATTCATCCAGACCGTTTTTCTTGTTTGGCATCATATTTTGTAACACTCAGAGTATAGAAAAACAACAACTCCCTACAGGGACAACTATCAAAACAAGCCCAAAGCAAATAAGAAAGAAGGCTATATAAGCCCTCCCAACCAACTTTATTTCTTCAGAATAAAATAAAGAACTTCTACAACAAATTATGATATCTAAGAGGTGACTTTATTAATACGTGATTGTTGGGAAGGCCACTTCCATGCAAGAAAAGAATGAGTACTATACAAATAATGAGGTACAGAAAGAACCTATTATTTTTTTAGTTTCAAGAAATTACTTTGCGATAGTTTACTACCTTGTATACCTATGGCTTTTGCTTTGGATCTAAAATGGAGAATAGAATCTATTCTATAACCTGTATACTGTGAATATTAATTAAGCAGCTTTTCTGAAAAGAAAGTAATCCATATGGAAGAAAACACTAATCTGTACAGGAATTATGGAATGCTGCTGTTTTATATGAATGTAATACCATAATAATACTTATAACATGGGTCTTGGACTTTGGCATTTTCTCTCTTTTATCCCATCTGTTGTTATATAGCTTGCTATTGGTGTGGGGGTGTGTGTGTCTATGTTCAGATTCATCTGGTGTGTAAAGTGGACTGTAAGGCCTTGACCACTTTCCATATGGATTACATCAACATGCTGTATATGTGGCTGCATTTGAAGACTTCTCAGAAGCTATACCTGGTCCAGAAAATGGTGGTGCATGCAGTTATCAGTGTCCCTAGGTTTACCCATATTGGACCTCTGTTGTGTGAGATGCAATGACTCCCAGTTTCCTTCTGGATGCAAGTCAAGATGCTGTTTATTACCTTTAAAAGCTTATATGGCATGAGGTCCGGTAATCTGCAGGGCTGCCACTCCCTACTAGACTAGATAGGGTGGGCATGTTCCTAGTCCCTTCCCTTAAATATTGCCATCTTATTGCTCTAGGAAGTATATCTTTTCCGTGGCAGTCTTTACCTTCCCAGCCTTCCTTAAAGTGCTGGGATAGTTTTAATTCATATATATATTGCGTTGCTTTAATTGTTGACCGAGAGACACCCAGAGCTTGATATGTAGAGTGGCTACAGTATATACATATTTTAAATACTGTATTTTTCAGAGTATAAGACGAACCTTTTTTCCTCAAAAAAGAGGCTGAAAATCTGGGTGCATCTTACACATTGAATACAGCATTTTTTGCCTCCCGAAGCCCCACCTCCTTCACCAAAATGGCAGTGCATACCTTTATGGAGGCTTTCAGAGAGCTCCTGAGGGCTGGGGAGGGCAGAAATGAGCAAAAAATGTCCCTTTTTTGCCCCCCCCCAGCCCCCAGCAGCACTCTATAAGCCTCCCTAAGGC